CTTGCCAGAACAAATACTTTACGTCATTAAAACAAGCTTATTTTGGAAGTGTATGCCAGTGGATACACACATTCCTCAAGAGTCCAAGACAGTGAGAGGATTCAAGACATTGAGAGATTGTTTGACTTTGCTTTGGGATGGAAATGGGAAATGTCATAGGGTTCAAATTCAAGCCTTTTCTAATCTACCACTCAGAGAACCCTAGAACATTCAAAAATGTGAGCAAGCATACATTGGATGACAACAGCTTTGTTTGAAGAATGGTTTTTGAACTGTTTTATTCCGCAAGCAAGATATTATTGTAGGAAAAACAACATCTCATTTATGATTCTTCTGATCTTAAATAATGCTCCAGGGTATCCACAGCATAACAGTAACATACATTTTGATGTAAAGGTTATATATTTGAAGTTGAACATCATTACACTCATTCAACCAATGGACCAAGGTGCAATAGCAGCATTCAAAACATACGTTTGAACAGGCTGTTGAAGCAACTGAATCTGGTTGAATGATCCTAGAGTTCTGGAAATGTTTACACATTCTAAATGTTATCTAGGACATCGTTGCAGTATGGGAAGAAGTCACACAGCAATGCATAAATGGCATTTGGAAGAAAGTTTTGAATGCATATATGAACATATTCAAAAGCTTTAATATAGATTCTGCTGTCAATGAAACAGTAAGTAACAAGATATTAGTGCTTGGTAACCAGCTAGAATTGGATATTGATGAAGAGGATATTCATGAGTTTGTTCGCACTGAAGTTGAAGAGCTCTGCTGTGAGGAGCTAACTGAACTAGAGGAAGAAAGAAGAAATTGAAGCACAAGAAGTTATGCCCAAGGCACCACGAAAGCTCACAGCAAGGAAACTAGCTGAAGCATTTGCTAGTATCAGCAGTGGCTTATGGGTGTTAGACAAAATGGATGCCAATTATGAGGGACTCATAATTGACAGGCAGTTACAGGTGCTCATGCTTGCTATAGAGAAATACATAATGAAAATAAGAAAACTGTAGTCAAAATTTGGTATCTTCCTGAAGAACACTATGCCTGCTAATCCATAAAGTTTGGATGGCTTCTGTCAGCTATTCTCAAGCCTCATTCAAAGAGAAATTAATGACCCTGTCACTGTCACATCCTGTCATTCGGCAATTAATTTTCATTCAATGTTTCAAACATTCTTCAGGAGCAGTATGCTTTCAGCTGTGTACCTAAGTGGTGAGTACCCTTACAATCATTCTGCTTTTCACTTTCACTACAGTATTTAATAAACTACAAGACAGATTCAATGATTTATTATAAAACATACTTTGTATTAGGTGATGTTACCCAACTGTAGACCAGTGTAAATGTTCTGAGCATGTTTAAGATAGGCAAGCCTAAGTGATGATGTTCAATAGCCTAGGTGTATTAAATGCATTCTTTTCAACTTAAGATGAGTTTACTGGATGTAACTCCATCATAAGCTGAGGAGCATCTGTACTATTCAGCAACAGAAAGGAGACAATTACTGATTCACATAACAATGTGAATGAATCCCAAATCATTATCTAGAGTAAAAGAACCAAACACAGGAGTAAATGCTATTATGATTCCATTGATATGAAACTGTAACAAAATGATTATCTGGCAGTAGAAATCAAAGCAGCAGCTTCCTGGAAAAGAAAATTGGTTGGAAATGACTGATGAGTGAATTTTTTAGGTAATAAAATATTCTGTATCTTGATATGAGTGTGGATTTCAGGGGTATATATTTATCAAAACCCATTGGGCTGGGGCTAGGGGCAGTGACTAATGTCTGTAATCCCAGCACTTTGGGAGACTGAGGTGGGCGGATCACTTGAGGTCACTTGACCAACATTGTGAAACCTGATCTCTACTAAAAATACAAAAAAAAAAAATGGTTAGGTGTGGTCACGTGTACCTGTAATTACAGCTACTTGGAAGGCTGAGGCACAAGAATCGCTTGAACCTAGCAGGCGGAGGTTGCAGTGAGCCAAGATTGTGCCACTACACTCCAGCTTGGGGAACAGAGCAAGAATCTGTCAGGAATAACAACAACAACAACAACAACAAAACCCATTGGACTACAAATTAAAACTATAAATTATAAGCTATAAATTATACCTCATTAAAACAATACATTAAAAATATTTTAAGATCTGTACTACTGTATTAGTTTTCTATTGCTGTTGTAACAAATTAACACAAACTTACTAACTTAGCACAAATTTATTACGTTATTGTGCTTAGGCCAGAAGTTGGAAATTGATCTTACTGGGCTACAATTAAGGACTGCCTTTCTTTCAGGAGGCTTTAGGGGGAGAATCCATTTTTAGCTACTAGAGGCCACTCACATTCCCTGGCTTAATTCAACTTCAAATCAAGAAATAACCAGTCAAATCTTTCTTGCATCACATCATTTGGACACTCTTCTGCCTCTCTTTTCTGCATTTAGGGACTCCTGTGAATACATTGGACTCACCTAAAATAAGGGTAGTCCTTATTTTAAAGTCAGTGCATTAGCAATCTTAATTGCATTTGCAACCTTAATTTCCTTTTGTTTTGCAATATAACATAGTCACAGGTTCCAGAGATCTGGACACCATTTTGGTGGGGAGGATGAATGAAGGAGTACCATTCTGATCACATCTAGAAACCTAGCCATCGCACCTAATATTGTTTCTATGAGAAAGTAACAATTATTGAATAATCTGAGCCGTTCAATCTATAGCCGTCTGTCAAATGTTTACTATTACAAGACACTAAAGGAGTAATCCATAAATAACACACTTTCTGTGTCTCATTGACAATATCGTACAAGGTATTTTCAGATATATTGTAAGCATTGCAAATTGCTAAATGAGGCTTGATACGGTGGCATGAACCAATAGTCTTCTGTATCCTCTATTATATAGTAGACACGTCTATATTGAGGAAAAATGCTTTTTACTATAGAAAATACTGGAGCTTCAGATATTTATCCCAAATACATACCTGAACATTAAAATTACTCATTGCTGTGAATGACTAAGAAACAAAAAGCAGCAGCCCTACTTGGCAGATGTCATATTGAGCCTCAAGGTAAAGAACACTTTTTAAATCTTCCGACCGCTGCCATCTCATCCACGCTATCAGTTAACAAAACAGAGGTGGGGAGGTGGGGGAGGGCAAGCTCAGATTTAGCGGTTACAGCTAATTCTTCCAAGATACATGTTTCTGTTTCTGTAGGATTTTCTTTAAGACACAGTCTTCAGATTTGTTCCACCTCATAGTGTTGAAGACTAACTTTCCTTAAGCAATATTACAATTATTCTTAGAAATGTGTCAGCAAACTTGACATAACAGAGGAAAACAAAGTGGATCCTTAGTTTTGTGTTAATAACTAACCTTATACCTTTAAGCCTTGAGCACAGTCCCTTGATTTATTATAAATAACCCGGAAACCTTTCATAATTTTCCTAGGCTATACATTCCTGGATCCCACTCCAAAACATTCTGATTTAATTTATCTGGGTTCCAGCTAGCATATCAGGGTTTAAAAGGTACCCACATGATATTTATCCAGTATTGAGAACTACTGTTTTAAGATCAGAGTTAAGAACTACAGAAATAAAGCAAGAACATTGTGTCCGGAATTGGTGGGTTCTTCCTCTCGCTGACTTCAAGAATGAAGCCGTGGACCCTCGCGGTGAGCGTTACAGTTCTTAAAGATGGTGTGTCCGGAGTTTGTTCCTTCAGATGTTCATATGTGTCTCGAGTTTCTTCCTTCTGGTGGGTTCGTGGTCTCGCTGGCTTCAGGAGTGAAGCTGCAGGCCTTAGCGGGGAGTGTTATAGCTCATAAAGGCAGCACAGACCCAAAGAGTGAGGAGCAGCTAGATTTATTGTGAAGACTGAAAGAACAAAGATTCCACAGCATATAGGGGACCCTAGCAGGTTGCCACTGCTGGCTCAGGTAGCCTACTTCTATTCCCTTATCTGGCCCCACCCACATCCTGCTAATTGGTCCATTTTCCTGAGAGCTGATTGGTCCATTTTGACAGAGTGCTGATTGGTGCGTTTACAATCCCTGAGCACGCTGTCACCTCTCAACATGAATGATTTAGTTAAAACAATTTGAGTTTACCACCCCAAGAACTGTATTACAAACTTAAGTACTGTCCACAACCTGAACAACTGGTATTTTTGTATAGTAAATTATGTAGCCACATAGCCAAGGTATATCTTATAGTTAATACCTGATAGTAATCCCTATATATTTAAGTACATATTTATTGAATCAATCAACCTGTCAAGTATCATCACACAGTATTTTGTTCTTCAGTCATCTCAGGATGATTGAAAAGATATTAAGAATTTTAAAACACATGGGTTATTTTTTTTTTTTGGCATATTTTGATTCATTTAATGTTTCAGTTTTAAAAAGTCTGAATTCCTTTTTTTTTTTTTTGAGATGGAATCTCATTCTGTCGCCAGGCTGGAGTGCAGTGGCATAATCTCAGCTCACTGCAACCTCCACCTCCCAGGTTCAAGTGATTCTCCTGCCTCAGTCTGCCGAGTAGCTGGGACTACAGGTGCACGCCACCAAGCCCAGAGCTAATTTTTTTTTATTTTTTATTTTTAGTAGAGACGGGGTTTCACCATGTTGGCCAGGATGGTCTTGATCTCTTGACCTCGTGATCCACCCGCCTTGGCCTCCCAAGGTGCTGGGATTACAGAATAGTCTGAATTTTTAAAAAAAAAATCCATAGCCCAAACAACGTGTTAATGTTTGTTACCATTTTTAAGTGTGCAAGGTATTGAAGTGAGGTAAGAAATCAGCAGGACTTATTTTCTGAGCAACAATCATGACCTTATTGATCAAAGCAGAATACAATAAAGAAACAAGCGGAAACTAGCAGATGGCGTCAACAGCAACCTCCGGTTGCCTTCACTGATTAAAGACCACCAGCGTTACTTTTAAATGTGACTGTTTAAAAATGCCATGACAACGATTCAGAAGTTACACGGTTTCAGGAATTTCCCCACCCGTTTCCTATAGAATTCTGAAAACCAGTCCCTTAATTAGCATACAATTAAGAATAAGGATAAATATAGCTGGCCAGCAATCTACCCGGACTGCCCCTCTGGACTGCTCTGTTTGGATACACTGCCGCTGCAGCCGCTGCTGCTGCTGCAGCTGCTGCTGCTCTGGTCTGTTCTGACTATGGAGCAGCCACTTTGCTGTACACCGCTACACCGGGCAACTCTGCCTATGAGGAAGCACTGCTCTGTGGGACAGTGATACGGCTGCACACCGCTACTCCTGGGAACTCTGCCTTTGGGCCAGCCCTACTCTGTCTACGGAGCAGCTATTTTGCTGTAAGCTGTTACTCTGATAAACTTCTTTCTTTCACAGCTGGCTGGCGCTTGAATTCTTTCCTGAGTGAAGCCAAGAATCCTCCCAGGCTGAACTCCAATTTCGGATAAGCCTGCATCAGCTGGATAATTTGACAATGAATTTTTTAATAATTTTTTTCATTTCTTCTTGATCCATTGTAAGTCCAAGATTTCTATAGTGTTATAACAGATGCAGAAATAAATAGAAAACTGTTTAGTACAAAAAAAATGAGTCGTATTCCTGGATAGAAATCTTTACAGGAAATTGTTTGTTTATTTGTTTGTTTGTTTGTTTGGGATAGGGTGTCTAACTCTAAATTTTATTTGAATCTTAATATCAAGTAGTGCGTATGTGCCCCCTAAGGGAAAAATATTCTCAAACAATAGTAAGAAAACAGTTTGATTATAAGTCTTAGTTCTCCTTTGATCCATGAGTTTGATTTGCCTTTATTCGTTGGCTACATGTAATATGGGCTATTCCCTAATCTTCCTCAGATAATTACAGGTACTTTGCTAGGTAACTGTGCACCTGAAAAGGAAAGCTAGTTATAATTTTCATGCATTGGTTCCAACAAAACACTATTCATGAGAATCCAGGCCAAAACTTTTAACAATATTAAGGGCTATGACGGTTAGGTAGTAAACAGAATTCAAAGTAAATTAATCTCACAGTCAGTTCCGTGTGGCCCAATCCCCACTCTGTGGAGATCTTCATATTTTCTTTATTCATGGTTGGAACCGCTATCACAGCGTATTGCAGAATTCCCATACTGGCTTCCTGGTACATAGAGTAAAGGCTGATACAGTACCAAGTAAAAGTAAAAGCCACTGAGCCTCCCTTTTCCTGTCACAGCAATAAGTGAAATATTGTAATATATGCATAAAGATATTGACGTGCTTGTTGTTACCATTATATATGATATGTATTAAAATATTTCTATTTTTTTCTCTTCTCTTGTATGCAGGAGATAATAGTGAGGGTTACGTATGTGGCTCGCCTATAGTTTGTACAATCTCAAAAGAGAACCGTAACAGAAGTAGAGAAAAATAGATGCCACTCACAGATATCAGACACAAAGAACAGTGACATCATTTTTATGTTTAGTATTTGGACATGACTTTGGGTTATCTCCCATTGAGAGGGAAAAGCCCATTTAAGATCACATGTAGAAAAGAATTATGTTCAGGGAGGCCATTTTATAAATTGCAGATTTTTAAAAAGAAAGTATGGTGTGGGAATTTAGGTAGCTATTGTTTCTTACGTGAGTACATTTCTTTCCTTGCTTTTCAGCAGGCTTGCACCCCTTGGACCACTAAAGTGAGTTATATGCAGTAACAGATTCTTTGTCCTTGAAATTTCAGTATTATCAGTGATGACCAGTGTAAAAGACTGAGATTTAAATAAGATTTGAGTTATCAAATAGGAAGAAACTAAGTAGAAAAGCCACATGTTACTATTGAGGAGATAACAGGAGACCCTGTATCCTTGTCTTTAAAAACATGCTTTTGCTTGAATTTTGTGAGATACCCCAATATCCTTCCAATAAAAATCTCACATCTCATTTCTCTTATTTTTTATTACTTCTCTTTTCTTTTCAGTTTCTCAGTCATTTTCTGTTTCTTGCAACCAGAGACCCCTAAGTTACCCAGAAATGAGATTTAAAAATATAGACTCAGAGGAATGTAAATATTTTGAATTAAATGGAGCGAAAAGTGCTGAGACTCCTACCCATGTTCAGAGATATAAAAGTGGTGGTCAATGACAAAGAATCTTTAAACAACTACAAGCAGTGACCAGCTGGAACCTGGGCCTCCTGAAGATGAAGTCCAGAGAACAGGTGGCTGTTGCCATAGATCCGCTTAAATAGGATGAGGAATGGTAGGCCCACCAAGTAGAACAGCTACATCGGACAGGCCTAGTAATGAAATTGGAGACAGGAAAGCCAGGCCCTATGGGCTTCAAAGCACAGGATGAAATTCAGAATCCTTGTCTGAGTGCACTGAACAGTCCCTTATTACTTGTAGCTATGCTGCTGAGCACACAGAAAACTAATTCCAGAGATGCATTTTGCCCCTTGCTGAATTATAATATTAGCTGAATTCACAAACCTCATGTATGTGAAAGCTAAGGCATTGATTAAGAAAGAGTGGACTAGGTATAAAGTCATAATAACACTCTGGCATCCAATTTCCAGAATTTAAAATGATCTCTCTGCCTAAATAACTTTGGGGTTCTAAATAAGTTACTCGAATTATATGTCTTACTTTTCATGGGGAATACTAACAATATTGTTAGTAGAATTATTTCATGAATAGCTATATTTTAAAGAATAAATTAGATAACCCACACCAAACACTTAACACAGTGCCTAGCACAAAGATAGTATTTGGATGTTAGCTAGTAATTCAAGTAAAATCTTTAATAATTTTGAAATAGATGAAAAAGAAGTTGCATTAAGTGTATTTATCAAATGATTACTCTGCTACACAATCTTCATGTTCAAAGAAATGTAATGCATATTTCTTACAATCAGAAATCTTCCAATTATTCTGGGAAGGCCTGAATAAAACTTGTAAAAGTTTAAGTGATAACATAGGAGAACTAGAAGGTCAATGTGGTGAGACAAGAACTCAGTCACAAGGTTTTTATAAGATGAAGTGCTCAATGAATGCTCTTGGTAAAAGGTGTTACACTTTTCTTAAATACCTTCTTTCATTAAATGACTATTTAATCTACTGTATTTGAAGAGTTAAACTCATTTCTACATGTCTTATTTTTGCTTATGTTCTTACAGCAAGGATCAGTCAGACCTAAATATTTGTTTCAGAACTGCACACTTTGGGTTTTGACATTTATTGTTTTTTTATTTCCTAAGCCAGAAAGTGAATCTTTGAAATCTGGAAGGCAATAATCCAAGTGGAAAATGCTTCGAAAGCTCTTTGTAGTTGGCGATAAGGCTTTATTAATGACAATTGTTCTCACATGATGGATGTACTTGCCATAATACCTATGGGCTTATACTGTGACTATTAGTATTTCCTTGAACAATTCCCTAAGTGACTATATATAATTTAATACACCTAGCCTCCCAAAACACATTGTCTTGTGATTTGTCAGTAGTGAATCTTAATGAGAAAAGTGTCCTCCTTAAATCGAATGTAAATTACTTAAAAAAAATCTAACTACAGATGAAACTTACTTTTAAAAATATAATCTTGCAATTCATTTATTAAAATTTTGTTAATTGAATCATGTTTTCCATTGATTTGCACTATTATATTAGAGATGTGTTCTTATGGTAAGAAATTTGACCAAAAATGAATAAATATCACAACTTAGAAATGAAGAGTATTTTAGGTTACATACTCAAAAAGAAAATATTTTGCTGAAATAATATGTAAAAACGTATTTGTAAAGTTTTCTGCATTCCTGTATATGAATTAGAAAAACAATACCTTAATCACATAGCTATTATTAGGAAAAATTAAATAAGACTTTAAATGTTATAAATTTCACAGTACTCTGCAATATTTTTATCATCATCCCCTTTACAAACAATGTGGCTATATCTGTAGTTTGCCTTGCTTGCTATACAAATGCTCAGATGACCATCTGTACAAAATGGTGCTCAGAATCATTTACATTTCTCTTTCTCTTCTAAGTTATTTCATTACCTATTTAGCAATAATTTCACATAAAGACAATAACATCTATTTTGCTTAACTTTTCTATTGATATCCGGTTTCCAACAACATTTTAGCTTTCTATTTACTTTTAAAATGTAGTTTGCAGCATAGCAAGTGAGTTCCTCTTTCAGTAAAGATTGAGGACAGAGAATTTGGGTCATCTGGCCTAGAGTGTTTAATAGTTTAAAAAACATCAATCTGGTTTCAAAGAGGAAAAAGTGACATAAAGATGTTTAGCTGACCCCTTCTCACTTTATTTATATGGATCATCTCATGATTCTAATTCAAACATAATAGCAGAAGTTGGATTCTCTTCATGCTACAATCATGTAAGAGATGTTGCTAAAATGTACATTTGTCATATTCGTTTAAATACACCCAGAAAGGATTTATTCTTTCCATTCTGTCTTCTCCATTCCACTACCATAACTTGAGCCAGGTGGACTTTTCTCTCCCTGGACCATATATCCCAATAATCTAATATAACTACACATAACACCAAATCATTTCACATGAGTTGCTGATCTAATCTTCTACTTACCTCACTAACCTTATATTCTTGAAAACAACTCTAATCGTATTACTACAAAAATATCAATAGCTCATTACTTAAGCAATAAAATTCAAACTCTTAAATCTACAAGTGAAGATCTACTGTCATTGACCCCTGCTTTTCATCCAGACCCCAATTCTTCCTGACACTCCCATGAAACTGGAGTACTTACTCTTTCTTGTCAGTACCATTCCAGCACTCCTACCTCCATTTGTGTGCTTGTGCTAGTCCTGGGTATGCTGCTTCCTTCTTCCCACACTGATGATCACAGCCAAATAGAAGGTCATTCATTGATTTTTTTACTATCAAAACATTTAATTATTCACTTAAGATAATGGCCTCCACTTCATCCAAGCTGCTGCAAATTATAGAATTTCACATTCCATTCTATGTATCTCCTAAATCTATCAAAATAAAGATAAAAAATTTAATGCTCATTTGCTTGATTTATTTCTGTCTTAAATTATTTGGAGTACTAGTAAAAGAACGAGATTAGATTCAGGCAATCTCTAAGGCTCCTAAAGTTCAAAAATTCTATTCCAGGCACTCAGAATATCATGACAAAATGTGAATATTTCTGTTGATTAAAGTGGTATATTAAAGCTTGTGTTTGACTAAAAGTGAACTGCTGGATGAATTTTCACAATGTAAACACACCCAAGTAACCAACACCCAAAGAGACAGAATGTCAGCAGCACCCCACAAAAGACCTCTAGTAACCCCTTCCAGTAGGTAACTGCTA